TTCGTTTGAGGATGGGGATCAGAGTTTCGGGACAGAAGCAGCCTAAAATAGACTTTGTCACCATTTTTGTTTGATGTGGTGCTTGCTGCAGGTACTTGGAGAGAAGCAGATAACACGATTGGCTATTTTCCCAATCAATTCCATCAGATTGATGTTTGTGGGAAAGGAAAGTCATTCGACAGGAAGTGCATTTTTACATTTTGATTAAAGATTATTAAGACAATAAGACCAGCATAAAAGCTAGTAAACACGGTCCATTTTTTATACTTGACGTAGCCTACCCATTCAGTATTACTGTACACCCACTTCATCCTTCCTGTGAAACACTACCTTTTTAACGTTTTGGCATATTTTTTGCACAGCTACCGCATACCATAAGGTTTAGAAAAGGGTACGATGACTTGTTATTCTTTGAACGCCATTGGCAGGATTCTGCCTCTTCTCAAAGCTGTAAGTCTGTAGAGGAACAGCTGCGTCTGTCCAATAGATCAAAACATTTATGGCATCATATTTCCCTGTGATATCTGCATAATTCTCCCAAATCTGCTGAATTTGGTAGCAGTGAGAGTCTGTCTGCCTGCTCGCCCCACCCTCTCCCAAATGAGTGCACGAGGCGGAGCCTGTAACTTTCACAGGGTTCATCAGTTTCATTCGTTCCATTGCAGATCCGAGGGCCCCTCTCGTAAGATCATTTACATACTGTTTATGTAGACGGGTATCAGCTGGGCCAAAGTCAACGTTTTCTTATCAAGATATAATTGTAACCAGTTTTCATATCAAGGAAGTGGTCTTAAAATGACAATGCTTAAGTGAAACTGTAAACGGGGCATAAAAAGGAACAGGGATGAGAAATTATAATTACTATCAGCTCTGTTTCTGTGTAAAGAGAGAGAGAGGAGAGAAAACAAGAGAAGGGCATGGGTTGATAGAGAAAAAAGGGGGGAACATGGGACTGATTAAGACTTCTGATTAACACACTTGAAGAAAAACAAACTTTGAAGGAAAATGGTTTTCAGCTTTATTCAACAATACAAAATACATCAGCAAGCAATCTGATTAAAAAATATAAATACAACATTCATTTAATAGTCAACAAAGGTGGTGGTATTGTTTATACTTCTATAAAACACATATACTTCCTTTTTTTATCCTTTAACCAGGACGATCCCAATGAGATATCATAATCTCTTCTTCCAGGGAGACCTGGTCAAGATGGCAGCACACAACATTTCACAAAACAAGGATCCATACAGAACGAATTAGTAATAATAATAAAAAATAATAATAATAACGTTTCTGGTTGTATTTGTATGTATTTGTTTTTGCTTGCAGGTCAAAGACCAAAATTATTTCAACGCTCGACCTGCACTGATCCGAAACATTTGTTGCTGATGGGTGTTATTTGAGAGCTTTCAAAGGTTTGGGTTCAGCAAAGATCTTTGAATGTTTTTTAAAGAAGGTCCTTATGCTAACAAAGGCTGCATTTATTTGATAAAAAAAAGGAACACTGTGAAAAAATATTTTAATAATAAGAAAAAATACTTTTCTACTATATTTTAAAACGTAATTTATTCCTATGACGGCAAAACTGATTTTCAGCAGCCATTACCCCAGTCTTTAGTGTCACATGATCCTT